CATGTAACTAATTTTCAACTCTAAGAGCTTCTGGAACCGAACCCAAGCAACTTGAATAGACGGCAAGGTGACGTACTTATGAAGCTTTAAGAGATCTATATCAACGTACAAGTTTGTTGCTTTCGGTGGAAAACTTTCGATGTTTGTAAAAAGTTTCTTTCCAATTCTTGTACAGTGAATTCTTTTCTCTCGCGAGCTATTCCTCGTTGGTTTGTGATCTAAAAACTCTTACTAGAATTAGACTCCTGGTATAAAGAAACTTCAGAAATAATACTATATTTCATCGGCTTGAAATTTTGGGTTGAGTTTATGGAATAAAAATTCATACCTCGTCGAAGATAGAATTTCGCCTTGAATAAATTCCACCAACATTAACATAATTTGCAAGAGTACGGACTTAAAGTGCGTGGGAAATATTTTGTAATACATTATCTTTATCGTATTCATGAATATAATTCCACTTACACGTTGCCTTTAAGCCAGTTCAAAAGTGAGGTTAGAAATGTGCAGTAAGAAAAACGACAGGCGATAACAGAGTCTTATCATACACACCACCGAACTCAGAAAAGGCTTTTGTAAGAGTTATCACCCCTTTTGAAGTCAACACTCGTCTTCATAAAGTTTGAATATTTAGCCTGTACCTCAAATAAAACACCACATTTCTCCATTATAAGGATCACTATTTAGTCTGAGAATCACAGGAAACCCGTAATACACTGTGGGCAAAATGCATTTATTGACTGTTTCAGCAGGTGGTAAATATAGTTACCATTGGGCCTTAGATGCTTAAGTGGTAGGACTACTACACAATTTAGACCTCCATCTCTCTGCATAAATCTCAAACATTTGTCATCGTTGTTAACAGAAAAAGACGTAAGCTCTCGATCTGGAGGTAGAAACTCAGTGTTCAGCCCAATTAGTTTATTTAATTCTATTCAAATTATTTACAGTTTGGTTACTGACAAATATCCTTATCTTGAACTGCGTGATATATGGGATGGATTCAATATATTTTTTCGATTCTAACACTTAACTTGCACGTAAGAACAACTACAACTTTCTGTTAAAAGTCAGTTTCAAAGTCAGGTCTGCATTTGTAACCCTAAAACAGGGACTCACGGGGAAAAGAATTACTTTACACGATGAGATTCTGTATCTGCTCTACTGGTTAATTGTACGATTCGGAAGTTTCTTTATGTGCTAATTTGCTTTGTCAACTGAATAACAAAATTGTTTGCAGAAAATGAAACAGATTTAATTGTTTCGTTATTATTATATATTATTTATTGTTCTGTCTGACGACAGGTCCATATGAACAGGATCCTTCCATCCTTTTCTCGGACTGGGACCTGTTCATATACGTTCTTGGCAGATGATCCAGAAGGGGTTTGCCATTGCCTTCTTCTGTGTGTAAATGGAGTAATTGTTGGGATGCCAAAACAGCGACTCACGGGGAAAAAATTTACTTTACACGATGAGATTTTTCTAGATAATGATCTGTATCTGCTCTACTGGTTAATTATACGATTCGGAAGTTTCTTTATGTGCTAATTTGCTTTGTCAATTGTATAACAAATTTTTTTGCAGAAAATGAAACAGATTTAATTGTTTCGTACACAAGATTAAAATTAAGTATCCTTTCCACTGAACATCTCGTACAATTTACATCAAGGAATATATATTTATTCTTATCACTATATATCTGTAACATAATACATTAGCTTCATGATTATCCGGTTTAGTTGGGAAATATATTTTTAGGGATAATCGAAACCCCGGATAATACGCAAAAACTAAAGGCAGACACCCAAGTGTAGCAAATACGTAAATTTATTTACAGACATGCACTACTTACATTTTTAAATATTTACAAACAAAAAGGATTTTATACAAAATTTAATACAGTACATACCAACTATTAAAAAAAAGAGCTTTCCAGCGGAGAGTAATAACGTTCTATTGCCGTAAACTTAAGATTTTAGCAACAACTGATTTATGTTAACACGTTAAATAATAAGTAATTTTTGTATTTACGCCGTTGTTTTTAAACTTTCTTTCACAACAGATTTTCTAAATTAATTTTTGGTTTTCGTTTAAACCAGATAGAGCCCGGTTCATCCGCCCCCAGATAATCGGGAGTCTACTGTTTGCTTGTATCAAACTTAGGATTATCTCCAGTTTAAACCATACGAGACACAGGTCTATTAATATTGCTTAATTATGCTCGTATATTAATTGTACCCCTGCTTCGTCCTAGGGAACAACGCTTCATAATTTCAGTACTCACATTGTTCTCGTCGAAAACTCTGAATACCAGGGATGCAAACTTGGACGGATCGCCCTGCGGGAAAAACTGCTTATAGATCTTGATGAATCCCTGAAACAAACAGAAAGCAATTCATGAAATCATGAAATTCGAAGTAGACGAGGTCACATGACTTCACATTTCAGTGATAAACAACAATTGTGATTCAATTTGTTTTCCAGCTGCAAGCCCTCCTCACATTTCGCCCGGGTTTCTCTTAAACAACGCTTAAGTAACGAAACTGCTTATAATTTACACAAAACTGAAGGAAAATTAACGCAAATTAAATTAGGAAATGATTGCTACCATGCTGTTCAGAATATTTTTGTCTTCACAAATCTTACATTTTTCAAAACTTCTATTTTGTTAAAGATTTTAAAGTGGAGATTAGGCGGAATTCTCACTAATCATCCAACCACATGGGATCTCGCTATCGCGAAAATATAACCCAGTTAAGCTGAAGTTTAAGTACTCAGGTCGGACCTCGTAGAAAACACCTATTGCTTTGGTTGTCACTTTCAATACGTATACGAAATTTTTAGAAAGTAATTAATGCAGATTGCACTGAAAAGATAAATATTTTTGGGTTTAAAGAGAGTAATGTTTTTCCCATGATACTAAAAAAAATAATAGCCACGGTGGTCTAGCGGTTAGAAAGCTGGCCTTGTAATCCTGGGGCCTCGGGTTCGATTCCCGGCGGTGCCCGAATTTATAACTTGTGTTGGGCAAGGCCGTGGTCTAGGCAACACGGAGTTTTCCTCCGGGGGCTTCCCCGGTTTCTCCGTGGCATCCCAACAATTACTCCATTCACACACAGAAGAAGGCAATGGCAAACCACTTCTGGATCATCTGCCAAGAACGTATATGAACAGGTCCCAGTCTGAGAAAAGGATGGAAGGATCCTGTTCATATGGACCTGTCGTCAGACAGCACACTAAATAATAACTAAAAAAATACGTATCGAATGATTAGTCCTATGGCAAGCTTTACAAAATGAAAGACTGACAAAGACATATAAATATTTGTCGAATTTTCTGCAGTAATATTCCATGCTGTCTGCTACTTTAATATGAGAACCTTTTAAGTACATTTTCCAGGTAATCAATTTTATAATTTCTAGAGTTATTTCACCTCACAGTGAACTGTTTATGCTGTACGGTTTGCATGCAACGAAATAACGTTGGTTACTACAAAACTTTCTGTTAAATTTGGTATAGCTGTTACGAAATACTCACGCAATGGGTAGAAATATGCAGGGCTAAGTACAATAATGTTTCTAAAAACTACTCCAGCCGGAAGGGACTAAATATTTAAGCCATTTTATTACGTTATTTCTCATAAAACTGTGATCAAAATAGAACCTTGTAATGGACTCATGTACCACCTTGAAACTTACATTAAGAATTCTTACAGAGCTATTTTAATTGAAACTAATATCTAGAATAGAACAAAAAGGGACATTCTGGAAGCAGCTTATTTCTTACAGCTGCTCCCATCAAGGAAAGTAGCAGGTTCATTTAGAAAGTACACTGTAGCTTAAACAACAATTACAAAGAGTTAATCGTGCCTTATAAGACGATGTTAATCGCTTCAGCATGCTGAAATAAATCCGCTTAATTATGCAGCATATTCATTTGAAACTCCAGACAAAATTTTTAACCATATTTTATAACTTTTATGTTTATAGCTCGTGAGGTTTAATTTTAGTAAAAAAAATCTTCAATTTGTAGTTCTCAAAACTGTATGTCGGTTTATAAAATATGCTTTTCCAGTCTCAAATATTATTTTGTGTTAGTGGTTGGTATAAGCGGAATGTTGCAGCCTGTAAAGCTGGTAATATTTTTAAATCAACTTCCTATGGTGCACCAGTTTTACTCTCGATTTTGACGATCCAGTAATGACATTATACAAAATTACATCTATTATGGAGTAACTTACACATTCACAGTTGTTGATATAAAATACAGAGATAAATAAAATAGAAAGTTAATTACAGAAGTACACTCCTCAAAACAATTAAGGGGTCAGGTTTTCAAATGGTTGTAAAGTTTCTTGGACTGAATCTGAAATAAGCGCACTCTGCAGGGTTGTAAACAATGCTGATACGAGTGCAACTGTGAAAGGTGGTATCAGTTAAAGTTGGTTATTTCAGGGAGAGAAGCCTACGAGAGCAAGGGTAGTGGAAACAGGAATGAAGGAAAGCAGTTCTTGTGTTTGTTATTGACGATACAGGAATACTGTTGCTATGCAACGTAATACGAGGTGCGATCAGAAAGTTTCTAGACTGCGCCTATAAAAACCCGTACACTTATCTCAGGTATTAAATTCATCCATCACCCTCGAAGTAGTTCCCCTGGGAGTGAACACAACGATCCCAGCGCCGCTGCCAAGCCTGGAAGTATTCCTGGTAATCTTTCTTTGTCAGCCTGTCAAGCACCATCTGCGATTCTGCCTGAATCTCTTCTATCGTCTCAAATCTCCTTCCCTTTAGCTGAATTTTCATCTTTGGGAAGAGGAAGAAGTCACACGGAGCTAAATCCGGCGAATAAGGAGGGTGCGGGATGACGGCCATGGTGTTTGAGGCCAAAAACTGCCGAACTGCTTCTGGTCCTCAGACAGGAGCCTTGGCACAAACTTGGCTGCGATGCGTCGCATGTGGAGTTCTTCCTTTAGAATCAGCGGACAGGTCCCATAGCCTATCCCAACAATGTCGCACAAGTCGTTGATGGTACGACGTCGATCTTCGTAACAGTTTCGGGCGTTGTGCTCGAAGATGGTCGTCCAGAACGCTCATCATCATCGACAGAGGTTCGGCCATTTTTAAAACGTGAATGCCACACAAAAGTTTGTGCACGACCCATTGCGGACTCCCCAAATGCTTGCTTTAGCATTTCATAGGTTTCCGTAGCCGTTTTGGCGAGTCTTTGGCAAAATTTGATGCACACGCCATTCCGAAATCGCAGGAGGGTCGGTGTAATGCACTACAAAAACGCCCGTAACTAAGAAACAAATGCTAATTCGATGATGCCGGCTGGCACACTGATTCACTATGAATGTAGCCTGCACCCCCTAGCGGCAGAATCTCGTACTACATCCGGTTCGCCCTCTATTGACACAGCCTTTAAACTTTCCGATCGCACCTCGTAGCCTTGAGGCACCGCAGAGATACTGCACGGGCCTTGCAAAATGACCTTTCCCGAGCTACAGGTAGGCAAGTGTCTGAACAAACAGTGAGAAACCGTCTTCGAGAGGTGGATCTGAGGTCCAGGCGTCCCGCTAGAGTGCACCGATTGAAGAGGTTCGCGCCCAAGAACATCAACATTGGCAACTGCGTCATTGGCGCAATGTCCTTTTCACCGACGAGTCTAAATTTATGCTGCAGGACAATAGTGGACGCGTCCGAGTTTGGCGACGGTCAGGAGAGCGTTTTCTACCAATCACAGTCCAGGAAAATGTCAGTTTTGGTGGTGGCTCCATAATGGTGTGGGCCGGTATTTCGATTGACGACAAAACCAACCTCGTCGTCATCATTTTCTCCTAATGCATGACAATGCCCGCCCTCACGTTGCAGGAATCGTCAGGGAGTACCTCCAAGAGCACAACATCGCCAGTTTACTATGGCCAGCTCGCAGTCCAGACACGAACCCTATTGAGCATGTGTGGGACGTACTGAGAAGAAGCGTCAGAGACCGTCAGAACGCACCTACCTCACTGAGGGACCTGGAGGATGCACTTTTGGAGGAATGGGCGCAAATTCCCCAAATCGACATCCGGAGCATTGTCCGGAGCATGCCTCAACGCAGTACAGCTGTCCTTCGAGCTGAAGGGGGTCCAATCTCCTACTAAGCGCAAAAAAGTTTGAAATTGTGTCACAAAAACTTGATGCAAATAAAAGTTCCATTCTGGTTTTTGTGATTAGTTCAAAACTGTTCAGTGTAACAATACTTTAGTTGTACAAAGAGGCCTGTTTTTGTTTAAATAAAGATCTATTCTATACACTACCTACATTTTAATAAATTTGATAAAATCCCAAGAAAATTTACGAACATTTGAAATCCTGACAACTTAATTGTGTTGAGGAGTGTATTTGACAAGCAGTGATTCACTTCCAACTGCCATTTTGTTACTTTATTCAGAGCTACCGTCTAACAGTAGTTAATAGGGCGTCGATAGGGTAAAAAAGGCTCCATGAACCGTAAGACTAAGGTAAATATTTGCTTCAACCGGGTCGAGATCCATTACTGAAATAAAATCGATTGCAATCTCGGAATCTAAAGATAAAAGTTCGGGCGCTGAAAACTTCGTGTGTCTGTAACGTTTCTTGGGAATTGTTAGGTAAAGACGTATTTGGTATTTTCTCGGCGATGTAATTGCAGATGGTGGTCTTTTGTTAGTGTGGTATTTCAGAGGAGCTTACAGGCCTCATCTTTAGGGCTAAAGTGACGGTTTTAGGTAACGGATAATTTATATGGGGCCAGAAGGATTAGACCAGGGGACTGCCCAATCAGAGCCATGGATTGATATGCATATGAACGGGTGTGTTCCAGATATACCAGTGAACATACATCTGGATAGACACACATGACATTTTGTATTTATTTACGTGTAAAGATTAATAGACCAAAATCATCAATGACTGATTCTCGGTTTATTTAAATACGCTTATAAACCGCACTAGTTATATAACGCAGAATGTTAAGATGATGAATAATATATTTGAAAATATGTGTGAAGAACATCTCGTGACCTATTTTAAGATATTGAAAAAATTGTCTTGTGAGACTGAAGAAAACTTCGAAAACCGAAATCAGCATAGCTGGCTTTTTAGTATACCAAGCAATAATGCTAACCTTTCAACCCTAACGTTCTATGCAATAAACGAAATATATAAAAAAACATAAAAGATAATGAAAAAGGTAACTGAACGTTCTGTTAGTAGACTAACTCCAGATGTAATTTCAATATAGGGCACAGTAGTGTTTTTTTAGACGGTCAGTATGCTGAGAAGTTAATATTTAACGGTGTTTTTTTGTGGTGAAGTAAGGTCAGCTGTCCATATGCAGAACTGCAGACAGACAGTCGAGTTTGAGCGGACGGCACGTGAATTATAAACGAATTATGTCACGCACGTGTGAAAATAATGTTTCGGGTACGATGATGTGATAAAAAATTAGGATCAAAACATTACATTCGCTTTCAGCCATACTGATCACGAGTAGCATATCTGAGTGAGCCATCCACACGAGGACAGTAAGTTCCTGTGAAACGTCGGTCATTATCTACCAAACCATATATTGCTATGCCCCAGAAGGCAGTCATCTTCACGTCAGAAACCATGCGTGAATGGTTATTTCAGTCAGAAGTGTGGACTACGTAGCCTTCAGAGTTACTCACCTGTTCTGTTAGCAGACCGTTAGGACAATCCTTCAGGAAACCTTTGTGCCTGAAACAGGAGAAAACAGACAATTAATACACTTGCTTGCTCTTTACAAAACCTTCCAAACATTACAGTCTCTTGTCATTAAATACTTGCATTATTATTATTTAGTGTTCTGTCTGACGACAGGTCCATATGAACAGGATCCTTCCATCCTTTTCTCGGACTGGGACCTGTTCATATACGTTCTTGGCAGATGATCCAGAAGTGGGTTGCCATTGCCT